CTTTTAAATCCCGTTAACATCCACTAGTATCCCATGATTTCCTATTAAACCATCAGCCCCAACCTTTGGAAACCTGCTTCAGCTGCACCTCGAATTCTTCATGAAAGGTTCGCCAGACCCAAATGCCTTTGTACAGCACCTGTGTTCGAATGATTCCTTGGGACAAGTCGAAGCGGCATTGGAACCCCACCGTCATATATATATACACATATATACATATACATATACATATACATATACATATATATATATATACATATACATATACATATACATATATCTATTCATATATATATGTCACATGTACACGTATATATATATATGTGTGTGTATATGTACATATATACATGTAGATGTACGCCTGCATGTAAATATATATATATAAATGTACACAAACATATATATGTAAATATATGTACATATATATATATATGTAAATATATGTACATATAAATATATATGTGTATATTTATACATGTATATATATATATGTATATGTACATATATACATATATATATATGTATATGCACATGTATATATACATATACATATACATATACATATTCATATACATATATACATATACATATACCTATTCATATATATATATGTTACATGTATATGTATATATATGTGTGTATATATGTACATATATACATGTATATGCACGCCTGTATGTAAATATATATATATATGTACACAAACATATATATGCGAATATATGTACATATATATATGTAAATATATGTACATATATATATATAAATGTAAATATATGTACATATATTTTGATATATGTATATATATGTACATCTATATATATATGTGTATGTACATGTATATATGCATATGCATATACATATACATATACATATTCATATACATATACATATTCAAATACATATACATGTACCTATTCATATATATGTAAATGTGTGTCACATGTACATGTATATATTTAAATATGTGTATATATATGTACATATATACATGTATATGTACGCCTGTATGTAAATATACATATGTTCACAAACATATATATGTGTAAATATATGTACATATATATATGTAAATATATGTACATATATATATGTAAATATGTGTACATATATATGTAAATATATGTACATATATTTATATGTATTTGTACATATATATATATATATATATATGTGCATATATATATGTATATGTACATATATATATGCACATATATACACACATTTATGCACACATGTATGTATATATATATTTACACACATATATATTTATATATACATATATATATATGTAAATAACTGTGTATATATATACATATATGTACCTACATATTTGTATATATGTATATTTATATATATATGTCCATATATTTACATATATATGAAGGTTTCTAATCCGAAGATAGACGATTTTAGTAGTGAACCCTTTATTAGTTTTGGGGATCAGCCATTTTTAGAAAACCTTACATACATACAATTACACAGATATATAGTTATCCGGAAGTAGATAGAATATCGAATTGGCAACGGGCAAACATATTGCCATTCTAGCGATGGTGTTTGAACTTTCCATGTTCTACCTACTCTAGCGTGACTATAAAAGACAGAATTTCTGTGAATTCCAATGATCTACCACTCCCACACTTCACCTTGCACATGTCAAACCCTGCCAGCGGTTCACATTGGGCTGCTCATCATAATCGTTCCCATTTAAGCATAGGCCCAGTCGTAAAGATCATGGGATTAGTAGTGAGAATATAGTAGTAGTATAGTAAGATCATTTGGGATGTTTGCCCAAAATTGGAATATATATATATATATAATCCATATGATACTTCCATTTAATGCCGATAAATTGGTGTAAACATCCTGAGTTTTAAGCAAACCCAACTACCCAAGCATCTTATTGGTTGTATATATATATATTCCATTGTATCACGCTGGCATCCCTGTGGGATTCCATAAAAGATCTCATTATATTTCATTGTAGACAAGATCATGTTCTAATACCATATTCATTCTAAATCAAAAACATATTGTACATCAATATAATGATATATTACATTAATATATTGTAATGATTATATTGCATTCTATCATCATATCAAATTTATACCGCAACAGACCCGATCGAATCATGCTGACTATGTATACCAGTATATCTTGCTTATTACCTAGTTTCTGGGATGCTGCCGGAAATCTTCCAAGGAAGGTTGTCGTGGTCGTGGAACTGGTACTGGTCGTTGTGGTCGACGAGGTAATCTGCACAGGTTTTCGAATATGTCTGACAATGGGAACTAACACCACAAAATGACCATTCGATTGGGAAAATGATTTTCTGAACGATGGAATTCTGTGATGCCTTACTTTCAAACAAACCCTTCACTGAAACGAACGCGAAACGATCAGGCACAGCTGATTCCCCTATAAAGGCGATGTGGCCGTGGGGTCGCTATGATTTGTCGCTATGGTTTACCTAGATATTAGATGCGTGGTCAATAATTATTCGGTCTGATGAAATATATTTGGTCAATAAATGCCAATGATTTTTGGTTGATTTAGAATACTTGATTGATTGTTGCAACAGTATATCCAGCGATCAGTATCATTGATGAGCATATCAACAACTGATAATTGCGTACCTTTTCAACTGATTAGCGCAATGTGGTCACCATCCCTGATAATTGCGTACCTTTTCAACTGATTAGTGCAATGTGGTCACCATCCTCAAAAGTATTGGTGGATCCCACATTAATTGTGCTCTGTGGTCGATTCTGCTGGCTCCTGCCTGTATGGATCCAAACTTCAGAATCCCAGTCGGCAATCCGTACAGGAAATTACAGGGATACATTCTATTCAACTCCCAGTCATACCATTTCATGTTGATTTCAAGGCACCAAATCCCTCCATTCTACACATTCTCCACCGCTATCCGAGGTGCACTGGTGCTACTGGTGGATGACGTGGAAGTGGAGCTAGTACTGGTGGAGGAGGTGCTGGTGCTGGTGCTGCTTGTGGAGCTCGACTGAGCACGCGGCACGCTGTGAACCCAAGTCTCCCAACTTCTCTCCCAGGGACGGGTAAGGTTAACCTTGGATTAGTACTGATGGTTACAATTACAACGGCAAATGAAAAAATACGGGAACTCTAGTGGGATAGTAATGGGATTATAATGGGATCATAATGGGATAACATTAGTACATAGCATTGGGATTATAATTGGATAAGAAACATGAAGTAACTGTACTAATAGGGTGGCACCAATGTTAATTGGCTTTGGAAATCATGTAAATAAAGGATTTTTGGCAGTAACATCTCTCATTAATTGACAGAAAAATCATTGTATAATCCCGGGTTGACATTGCAAGTACAGTGCTTGAAAGGAACCCCTGGAAAACATATCTTGGCCATATCCACATTGACAGGCAAACCTGAAAACCACCCACGTGTCCCAAACTGCTTCAAACCCACCATCAACTGCCAAAGGTGTAGGGATTTTGAGCATCCATTTTGGGTTTGTCTGATTTGTTTCTAAAAATTCCGACTCTCATTTTCCCTATGATTTGCTAGCCACCAATTTTGGGGTTCCGACCCAATTTTCAGGTTCCAAACACAATGAACTGATGGTGAATATTCCCCATGATGTCCGCATCATCTCACCATTTTTCATGGTTAAATCATGTTACCATTGTACCCAGACATTTTGGAAGCTATTCTCATCCGAAAAAAAAGTGGCCACCATTCAACATGTCTGGATGTGGCTGTGTTTATGGCTTATGGACGTTTATGGTGGGATTGGCTGATCAAATTCACACCATTCACCAGGTCACCACATCAGCAAGTGGACCAAGTGGGACCAAGGGACTGAAGTCGAGGTGGAACTGGTGGAGGAACTACTGCTGGAGCTACTGCTTGTGCTAGTGCTGGTGATTGTGGTGGAGCTGCTGCTGGTGGAGGTGCTGCCTAAGCGATTTGTTGGCTGATCCAGATTGGAAAGTGAGCGAACAAGAATTGGAAGCTTATGGTGGATGAATATGGAATAATATGGGATAGTAGTACTAATGAAATAGTGAAATATCTAATTCATGGGATTCTATGAGGTATCTATTAAGAATGATTCATGATTAATGTAAAATATCCATAATCAATGTCAAATCAATGATAAACCAATGATAAACCAACGAGTAATGATAGTTAATCAATGGTTAACTAGAGCTAATGTGGTAAACCCAATGCCATAGTCACCATTGACTAATGGATTATATGAGATATTTATTGGGTAATCATGGGATGATAGTGGGATAATAATGGATCATTGGAGGAAAACTCGAGCTTTATTATCGAGTATACTCCTAGCAATGGATGATGTAAAATGACCTCCCAACAGTTGGTTTTTATCGGGGATGGTGTGTTATTGGGTTCAGCACATTGGTCCACATTGTATAGCATCCACCAAAATGGGATAGAATGTGATAGAATTTGGTACAATCCTACGGAAATAGCGGTAAATTGAAGCTGTTCTACATCTTTTAGGTGCAAGCTGAGTGAATCAACCGTCAACATGATATGATCATTTTGACTTTGTTAGTTTGTTATGTTTGATTTCCGAGAGCTTGTTCTGTCATTTTTAAATTGAAGGAATCAAATTCCACGAGTCCTCTGCAACGCACATGTTTCGAACGAAAATCCGCATCGTCAATATGGGGCGAATGATCGTTTCTTCACATAACATGAAAATAAACTGGGATGAATTTTACATGTCGTGACTCTTGCATGGCCATTTCGGTAACAATTTCTTACATGTTGCACGTGCCCACCGCCACCGCTTCCCGCGCAGGCAGGCGTTCCTTCGTATTTTCTCTGCCAGCCGCAGATCAGGTACTCGGAGTGGAATTTCAACCGTCGAAATCGATGAAACTCAAAAAATGGGCCGTGACACTTAAATCGTGACATGGGTCAAAATTAGATACCAAAATTGGATGTTTCATACTAAAAATGCAGAGAATCTCTGGTTTTTCCAATTTTGACCCATTCCTACATCATCCCACAGCATCCTACATCTATTCATTCAGTGTCCTTTCGACAATTCTCCTCCCCGCTGCCAGGGCCGCTTTGTCCAAGTCGGCGCCCGCCGTCCGCAGTCTCTTGGCAATTGGCCCCGCGGGATATATAGCCGCGTTGATGACGGCCATGACACCCTCGCCCACCCGAGCTGTGGTGCGGGCGCAGGCGAGTGACCTGGGCAGGTGAAGAAAAACTGGGTTAGCCTTCATTTTTGATGTGTAAATAAATCATCCATAAATGGTTGATTTTCCAAACTAACATAACTACTGAAGATCACCATTAATGGGTAAATCAACTATTTCGACTGGGCAATTTTCAATAGCTATGATAGTTTACCAGAGGGTACCGTCTAAAGTCAAACATCTCCAATCATCTCCATGGGCACCGCATGGCACACGTTTCGCAGGGACCTTTTCGGAATGGTTTCACCGGATTCCAAGGGCGCACGCTGTGGTAAATCTCAACTCTGTCATTTGGGGAGATTTCAACATAGAATTAGAGGACTGGATAACCCCACAAGGCAATTTCTTCCAATAATGAGCACCAAATGTTGCAGCGGGGACGGGGAAGGAAGGAAAGACAAAGGAGGTGGTGGAGGATCGAGAGGAAAAACAAAGTTGTGTGTGACAAAGTTGTATGTGAAAGATGGTGCGTGAAAAGGAAAGATGGTGTGTGACAAAGTTGTGTGTGAAAGATGGTGTGTGTGAAAGTTCTGCGTGAAAGAGAGCGTGTGACAAAGTTGTGTGTGAAAGATGGTGTGTGACAAAGCGGTGTGTGAAAGATGGTGTGGCGAAAGATGGTGTGTGACAAAGTTGTGTGTGAAAGATGGTGTGTGACAAAGTTGGGTGTGAAACATGGTGTATCAAAGATGGTGTGTGAAGGATGGTGCGTGTGAAAGATGGATGTGGCAAAGTTGTGTGCGAAACATGGTGTGTGAAAGATGGTGTGTGACAAAGTTGTGTGTGAAAGATGGTGTGTCAAAGATGGTGGGTGACAAAGTTGTGTGTGAATGATGGTGTGTCAAAGATGGTGGGTGACAAAGTGGTGTGTGAAGGATGGTGTGTGACAAGGATGGTGTGTGAAAGATGGTGTGCCAAATATGGTGTGTAAAGATGGTGTGCGACAAAGATGGTGTGTGAAAGATGGTGTGTGACAAGGATGGTGTGTCAAAGATAGTGTGACAAACATGGTGTGTCAAAGATGGTGTGTGTGACAAAGATGGTGTGTGAAAGATGGTGTGACAAAGATGGTGTGTGAAAGAGAGTGTGTCAAAGATGGTGTGTGACAAAGTGGTGTGTGAAATTGTAGTGTGACAAGGATGGTGTGTGAAAGATGGCGTGTCGAAGATGGTGGGTGACAAAATGGTGTGTGAAACATGGTGTGTCAAAGATGGTGTGTGAAAGATGGTGTGTGACAAAGCTGTGTGTGTGTGAAAGATGGTGTGTGAAAGATGGTGTGTGAAAGATGGTGTGTGACAAAGTGGTGTGTGAAAGATGGTGTGTGTGTGTGTGAAAGGTGGTGTGTGAAAGATGGTGTGTGTGTGTGACAAAGTGGTGTGTCAAAGATGGTGTGTGACAAAGTTGTGTGTGAACCGTCCCTCTTGTCCCGTGAACCCTTTCGCACGAAATGAGGTTGCGTCTGTGTGTAAAAGCGTCTGTGTGTAAAACTGTCTGTGTGTAAAAGCGCCTGTGTGTAACAGTGTCTGTGTGTAAAAGTGTCTCTGTGTAAAAGTGACGCTTCTGTGTGTAAAAGCTTCTATTTGTAAAAGCTTCTGTGTGTAAAAGCATCTGTGTAAAAGCTTCTGTGTGTAAAACCCTCTGTGTGTGAAAGCGTCTGTGGTGTAAAAGCATCTGTGTGTAAAAGAGTCTGTGTGTAAAAGCGTGTGTGTGTGTGTAAAGAAGTCTGTGTGTAAAAGTGTCTGTGTGTAAAAGCGTCTATGTGTAAAAGCTTCTGTGTGTAAAAGCTTTTGTGTGTAAAATCGTCTGTGTGTAAAAGCTTCTGTGTGTAAAAGTGTTTGCGATGCAAACTATTGTCTTGTACTTGTGCTATATTGTCTTGATACTCCTCTTCTCGTCTGCCTATAACACATCTTTAATATATTGTTTTGTAATATGGTGTCTCCATACTAACAAGAGAAGACCCTGCTCCTCTACGCTCTCGGGCCATCCGTCGTCTAGTTTATGCCCCAGTGCAGTAGTTCACCCAGTTAGTTCACTGGTCGCCCCTAGGTATCTTAGTTAGTCAGTTTACTGGGGTAAACCACTGGGGGATTTTCCAGCTAGCCATGTTTGGTTGCCAGATGGTATTGGAATTAACAATATCAACCGCGGGCTTAATAAATCATAAGCTATTGATGGGGTTGAACGGCGGTTTCCAATGGGATATATATGTATATATATAACCAGCAATCACCGAGTCGGACCCCCTCAAAGAATCCCATCCTTGATGGATGGGTTGTCAAAGGAAAATCTGGAGAAACCAACCGGTTGATACCATGAAATTGTTTTTGTAAAATGTCCAACCAATCCTATGACATCCCCAAGAGACATTATAGGTTGATGGATTGTGATAGTCCCCAGCAAAAACGTCCCATCCCATCCCCAATTTTTCTAGATTTGGTCCAAATCCAGGAAACAAGGGAGTGTCGCCATCCTGCGTTTCAGCATTTACATCGGCATTGGACTCCAGCAATAAACTCACAACGTCCACACTCTTCTCTTGACTGGCAGTGTGTAGGGCCGTCCGACCAAGATGATCCAGTCCATTGACCTGAGGGAAGAGTAAAATTTCGAGAGTTCATGGCGATTTAATGGGATTTTATATAATGGGAGTTAATGGGTGCTAATGGTATTTCATGAGGGATTTGAAAGGGAAACCTGGGATATACCCTCTGGTAATGGTTTACTATTGAAAGTCACCATGTTTGACAGGTAGGTCATCTATAAACGGGCCATTTGCCTCCATTTTCCATGACAACATGTTAAGTTGCCAGAGGGTATACCCTTAGAAAAATCCCAAAAACGCTCAAAGCATGCCCCTTGCCACTTTGGGGGGGATGCTCTCACGGTATGGACGGACTTGGGGTAAATGCTATCAAGGTATGTTCATAAAGGACATGTTCATGTCATACTATAAGACGTATACTTCATTCGCATCATATCCTGAATTTCGGGATACATACATACTGTCATGGATCAAAATAACTATGTAATATATAATATATATTAATATAAATATTATACATATAAATATATATATAAACAAAACAAAAGGAAGTTTAGTTGGAAACGTCCGAGTTGCGGACGATTGCCATGGTTAGCATTCCCACCATCATGTCAACCACATCATCATGTCAACCACCGATCATCAAGTAGTTGGGGACGCGCGTGACTTCACGGGTGAAAACATTCTCGGGCAGGCAACCTTGATTTTTCGGGTAACGTGGCTCCTGGGGTCGCCGAAGTAGGCGCGGTTGCGGGCCTCGATCTGCAAAATTTGTCCGCAAAATGTGCACGAAACTGTAGCGAGAGCTCGATTTGCACTTCAAAATGTTAAAATCCGAGGCATTCGGAGGACTTTTGGAAGACGAGGCCGGTAAAATCCGCACCAGACTGTAGCGAGAGCTCAGTTTCACATAAAAATCGCGAAAAAGCTGAGGGGATCGGAGTAGCGCGGAATCGTCCCCACTGTCAGCGCTGCACGATCGCTGGTCGATTTGGTTTGACGCTCCTGCTATGCGGGTTTGCAACCGGCTGTGACAAAATGCATTTGCACGGCTGCGCACAGCAAAGCATGAGTGATGCTGCGACGCTCCTGGCAAGCGGGGTCGCACTGGAAGCGGCTAAACGCATTGCAACAGCTGCGCAAAAAGGCATTGGCGGCATTGATATGCTAATTTGGTGGCCTTTTTTGGGCACATGTGGATTGCGACTTTTGAGGCTCCAAAACTCGACGCAACATGTTGTATCAACCTCAGCATGTTAGCTTTTGGTCATCAACATGCAAGTCTGTCTGCTTTTTGGTCACCAAAAATGCAAGTCATTATGGCTTCTGCATCTCAAAAATGTTCCTATAGGCCATTGATTTCCTATAGCCATCTTCTATTTTCGAAACTTCCGCCCCCGGCGTGTGCCGGGCACTATCTGGTATATAGTAATATTACGGTATACAAAAAACAAAAAGTTGATGATGAGAAGATGTAAGAAGGGGTTTATGAACCTATCTTTTATCAATGTTTATACGGAATTATACTTGTATATACTGTATTTCTAATTATCAGAATCCATGAACTTCCCAGGAACCATTCTTTTGGGGCATTTTCCCCTACGGTTTTTGAATGACGAGGGCCGCCTCGGCTCTGGCTTCAATCAACTTCTGCACCATGCGAATATAGCCATGCTCAGCCGCGAAATGTAGAGTTGGAGGGGTCAGAGCGGCCCCTTCCGCGAGAAGATTTTCACACCATGTTGTTATAACTTCAATGGGATGATTTGGGAAAATCTACGAAACCATGGGGGTTTTTCCGGAATGAAATAGGGGTTGCCTGTAGATTTGTTTGTTAGTCTTGACTGGCATGCACATCCAAATTCGAACAATCCTTCCCAGCACATGGACAAGGGCCGGATTTTCAAACCGTATTCACCTAGTTGCGATTGAAGAAGCCATCCGAAAAAAACCTGCTCCTCAACTGGGGATGAAAAAAGAGTTTGAAACCACGGATCAGCAAATCTACAATAAGACCTCTAGGGCCTCAAATGCCTTTTATGTTGTAAAATTGGCAAAAAGTGGGAGTCAATCATTTTTGCTCAGAGCCCCATATACGTGAGCAGAATTCAAAACCTGCGACATCGTCCCTTCACACTGGTTGGTCAAGAGGATTTCCCAGTTCATTTTGTTGAGATAATCATTGGATGGTATAACCTGTCATAAAACTCAAGTAACCTTTCTTTATCAGTTGTATCATGTTATATCCACTTATATTATTCCCTTATTTTGTTCTTTTAGCCCACATTAAATAACTCTAAGACTATAATCCTCAATCAACAGAGGTTTGCAGCCATTGCTCAAATGGAGCGGGTTGCGCCCCCAGGGAATTGGGCGACCCAGCAAATTATCATGCTTTAGCACGGCAGCACTTTCAACTCTCATGTTTCAGCATCAGGGCTAGGATCATGTTACCTAGTTTTGTCTCAATCGGCTCAATGGGTTTATAATGGGATGGACATGGGATTTTAATGGGATTACACTGGGATAGCTAATTTAAGAAATGATGATACTATCTCCATTATTTATGGCAACTGTAGCCATCACACATGTTTGTGACATAGAAAAATGATGGGGACATCACTTCCTTAGGAATCACCTGGTGAGGGGAATCAACCACCATTGAATCACTGAAGAAAAAATGCTTGGTGGCTCAGCCACCCCCGTGAAATTTCTGAGTTAGTCATTGAGAATCATCATCCCATTTCTGTGGTTGAACAAAAAACTATAATAAACTAATAAACCATCCCTGAAACTACAGGAACCAGCATCGACCAGATTCTAGGTGATCTTTTAAGCCCTGCAAATAACATATCGTATAGATACCGGTAGTACCGCACAAGGCGGTGGCGGAAGTTCCAAAAAGAGGAAACCTATAGGAGAGGTTGGTTGTTGTGACTCACGGATGGCAGAGCGAATCCACTGATGGACCGAAAGCTGGTTGGAGTTGTGTTTTTTGGAGTGGTTACAATGGTCGCAGTGGTCACCTCACCACAACTGTTCGATGTAGTGTGGTGTAGTGCAGTTGTAGTGTAGTGGAGTTGTAGTTGTAGTTGCAAAGTAGTGTGGTGTAATGTAGTGCAGTGTAGTGTCGTGTAGCGTAGTGTAGCGTAGTGTAGCATAGCGCAGTGTAGTCTAGCGTCGTGTGTGTGAAGTAGTGTAGTTGTAGTTGTAATGTAACGTCGTGTAGTGGTAGTTGCAGAGTAGTGTAGTGTAATTAATGTAATGTAGTGTAATTAGTAATTAGTGTAATGTAGCGTTCTGCGCTGTAGTAGTCGTAGTAGTAGTCGTTGTCGTAGTAGTAGTAGTAGTAGTCGTTGTCGTAGTGGTAGTAGTAGTAGTAGCAGTAGTAGTAGAAGAAGAAGAAGTAGTCGTAGGAGCAGTAGTGGTAGTGGTAGTGGTAGTTGCAGTGGCAGTGGCAGTGGTGGTGGTAGTAGTAGTAGTAGTCGTCGTCGTCGTCGTCGTCGTCGTGGTAGTGGTAGTGGTATAGTGGTATAGTGGTATAGTGGTAGTGGTATAGTGGTAGTGGCAGTGGCAGTGGCAGTGGCAGGCAGTGGTAGTGGTCGTCGTAGTGGTCGTTGTAGTGGTAATGGTAGTGGTAATGGTAGTGGTAGTACTGGTAGTACTGGTAGTACTGGTAGTACTACCAGTAGTGGTAGTAGTAGTCGTCGTCGTGGTGGTGGTGGGAATGTCGAATCACGGATGGCAGAGCGAATCCACTGATGGACCGCCAGGTGGTTGGAATGTCGAATTATCCATTTGTCTATCTGTCTATCCATCCATCCATTTATCCTTCTTTTCTCTCTACTGATCTATTTGTCTGTCAACCTATCCATCTCTTGTCTTTCCATCCATCTGCTTAGCTCTCTATCCGTCTATGCAGCCGTCCATCCATCATCCTATTTCTGTCTATGTGTCTTCTCTCTACTTCTCTCTTTCGCGATCTGTCCAATTCCCTGTCTCTCTATGTGTCTTGCTGTCTATCCATCTATCTAGCTGTCTATCTGGCCATCCAGCTATCCATTCTATCTTTTTAAGTACCGAAGCATTTCATCAATCCATCTATCTAGTTCTTCATCTTTCCACCTAGTCAATTCAACAGCAAGCAAGCAGGTAACATTTGCACAGACAAGACACAGAGCGAACAAACCCTTGGTTTCAGTCACTTACAAAACTTAAAAATGTGAGACATCGCTCTTGCACGATCCCTTGGGTGCAAACAACTCAACCTTTTTTGCCGTGTGTTTGCGGAGAGAACGAGCAGCGTCCGTGACTTCGTACCGTCAGAAAAGAACATCCGGAACCGACATCTTCAAGCAGACCGTTCGGTGACGCAACACAGCTAGGAAGAACATCTGCCGCCAACGATTGCGAAGGAGTCAAAGCAAAGCCATTGGCTTCACGCGGTGCGCATCACTTCATGTGTCCCATCTTTCATTCATGCGGCTGCCGGCCGACGCGGTCCGAAAACACGCACGCGGTCAGCACTCACGCGGTGCGCATCACTGCATGTGTGCCGTTTTCCTGCTGGCCGACGCGGTCAGAAAAGACACACGCGCGGTCACTGCCATCTCTGGCACGCTGGCACATGCGGCATCTGTGAGGCGTCAGCCCGGCCAGCTTGCCACTGTGCAGCATCAGCCCCGGCTGCCTGCCGCTGTCGCATTTCAGTTTGAATCCAATCAGACAGAAAATGGCAACATTCATCAATAAGCTTCAGATACTCACGGCGCAGCAATTCATCGTCCGTGCGCTTCACCGGGGCCAGTCACTGTGGTCCCGCAAGATCTTCAAGATGGCAACGGCATCCGCAACGGTGAGATGCTTTCGCAGATTGAGCCAATGGCATGCAGGACTCTCCCCCAGGTCTTGCAGGAGCTGTCTCGCTTCGTCCGGCGGCTTATCATCAGTTCTAGTACGGCACTTGTGCGTCGACACGGGGCTGCGCACATACCGCGCGCATTGCGCGACGGTCCAAGATCCGGCGTGCCATTTCCTCGGCGATCCTGTGCTCATTCCCATGTTCTTAAAAATTAAGGATTCATTGGGTGATGTTGGTAGAGAATCCGATCGTGACACAGCAACAACCAAAATCATTCCAATGCCTATCACAACCGCAAACGATGACCGTAAACAACCAACTGCGAACCAAACGATCCTCTGATTTTGTGACACTAAGAAGCAAAGTCCAACAGCTGCATCTGTTGCACACGGTTTCCTGCGGCCAGAAAAGACACGCAAAAAACAGAACAGCTTTGCATCCCACTTGTCACACAAAACTCCGCGGCGGAAAAATACTTTGCATTCCACTAATCAGAAAACACAGTGTGGCGGAAGCTACTTCGAGAGAAGCACGAAACAAGGCCGCCTGCGACATTGTCTGTCGGACCGGTGTTGGATTGCAAAAACTTTTGGCGGTCGGAAAAAACCCACCTGGATGCTAAGCTGCTGGAAAATGAACCGGTCAGAAAAGACACAGTCGGCTGCTTTCACCTACGGTCCAGGTGATCAAACCCGTGTGCCAAGTCGCCACGGAAATCTTGGAGGTGATTGCGTCTGGCGCACCGAATTCCACAACTTGACAGCTAGAAGACATACAACCAACAGCAGCATCCGCGCCTACACAACAATCATGTTGACTGAAATATCTGTCCCCCTGGCATCACCGGTTGCATCGACAGTGCCAAGAAATGGACTCCCCAAACTTTTCCTTACAAATTCCCGTGACATGCGGAAGTGTAATTGAGATACCGTCAAAAACGAAGCAAGTCTGCGAGACCTGCTCAATGTCTAAACTTGACAACATCGTCTGCACAAAAATGTAGTGTAGTGTAGTTGTAATTGTACTTGTAGTTGTGGTAGTGTTTGTTGTTGTAGTTGTTAGTGTAATTGGTGTAGTGTAGCGTAATTAGATGCAATTAGTGTAGTGTAGTGTAATTAGTGTAGTGTAATGTAGCATAGTATATTTGTATTTGTAGCTGTAGCAGTAGTGTAGTGCAGTGTAGTTGTAGTTGTAATTGTCTATCTGTCTATCTATCTATCTATCTATCTAATCCCTTCCTCCTATTACTAAACCCCGCCCAAAAACTAAAAACCAGTGTCCATCTCCAATTTTTGAAAATTTCAGATTGGCCAGTTTGACTTTTAATTGATCCCCTTTAGAAAACAATTTAAAAATCAAGCTACCATTTGTGGGATTTCCCTCCTAATACCAAAAACTAGTTCACCCCGGGGTGTTTATTATTAGGGTCCGTCCGATTTTTTTCGTTTTTTATATTAATGTTTTTAATTTAGTATTTGGGGGAGAAGCTTCGAAATCCAATTTTTGGCAATATTTTATTTGCGTTATAAAAAGAAATTTAATCGATTTTGAGATCGGAAAAAATAGTTCTTATTACTAAGGGTTTTAATGCTAGGGGGAAGCTTCGAAATTCAAGTTTGACAATATTTTAATTGCAATATTTTATTGATTTTGAGATCGGAAAAAATAGTTTTTATTAGTAAGGGTTTTAATTTAATATTAGGGGGAAGCTTCGAAATCCAATGTCTGGCAGTATTTTATTTGCGTTATAAAAGAAAATCTAATTGATTTTGAGATCGGAAAAAAATAGTTTTTATTATTAAGGGTTTAAATATTAGGGGGAAGCATCGAAATCCAATTTTTGGCAATATTTTAATTGCGTTATATAAAGAAATTTAATTGATTTTGAGATCGGAAAAAATAGTTTTTATTAATCAGGGATTTAATTTAATATTAGGGGGACACTTCGAAATCCAATTTTTGGCAATATGTTAATTGTGTTATAAGAAGAAATTTACTTGATTTTGAGATCGGAAAGAATAGTTTTTATAATTAAGGGTTTTAATTTAATATTAGGGGGAAGCTTCGAAATCCAATTTTTGGCAATATTTTAATTGCGTTATATAAAGAAATTTAATTGATTTTGAGATCGGAAAAGATAGTTTTTATTATAAAGGGTTTAATTTTATTAATAAGGTTCCCTATTCCCTCATGATAAATACCCCCCTAATACTAAAAACTACCTGCCGTGTTTAGTACTAGGGGGGGCCTTTAGTATTAGGAGGAAGGGATTATCTATCTATCTATCTATCTATCTATCCATCGATCTATCTATCTATCTATCTGTTTCTCTGTCTCTCTGTCTGTCTGTCTGTCTGCCTGCCTGCCTGCCTGCGTGCCTGCCTGCCTGCCTGTCTGTCTGTCTGTCTAACTGGAAGCTTGAAAACCCAGCAATTCTGCGAGACTTCCTCAACTTTTGAACTTGACAACATCAAAAACGAGACAAGTCTGCGAGACGTCCTCAATGTTTGAACTTGACAACGTCAAAAACGAAACACTTCTGCGAGACGTCCTCATTCTTTGAACTTGACAACATCAAAAACGAGACAGTTCTGCGAGACTTCCGCAACTTTCGAAGTTGACAACGTCAAAAACAAAACAATTCTGCGAGACTTCCTTCAAAAAAGGAAAGTTGAGTGCAGAGCTCACGGCCTCGTACCAATGCGTTTTGTGGCTTTTCCACTCAATCTGTCTAGAGTGCTGTGCCTGCCACGAAAAAGTGATGCTATGTCACACGAAGTGCTGCACCTGTCACGCAAAATCATCTTCCCAAAACTGAAGATCTGATGCTCCAAAATGCAACCCGTCTCAGGAAATCAGCGCCCGGACCTCCTAACAGCTCTGGTGAACATGTCTCTTGTACTGCGCCTGCCACGTGAAATGCATCTTGCCATATCCTCTGCGTATGTCCCACGCCTGCCATCGGTTTTGAAACTGGCACAAAACCTTCACGTTTTGCTCACTTTTGACAAGGTGCACAATTCCTTGCGCCTGCCACGCGAAACGACATCTGAACGTCCAAAAGTGCTCAGTACCCCTCAGTTTTTTTCCGTTGTGACTTTGAAATGTGCTTCGCGCCACAACGGCGTGCACTTTTTCGACATCTCAACTTCCAAAAGTGGTCCGAGCATGGTGTTTTGTACATTTTGACTTGGAAATGCGCTTCGCGCCACAACGGCGTGCACTTTTTCGACATCGCAACTTCTAAAAGTGCTCCGAGGCTGAGGTGTTTTTAGCTTTTTCACTTGCAATGTGCTTCGCGCCACAACGGCGTGCACTTTTTGTCGACATCTCAACTTCCAAAAGTGCTCCGAACCCGTCAGTTTTTGACACTTTTGACTTTGAAATGTGCTTCGCGCCACAACGGCGTGCAATTTTTCATCTCTCATCTGGCCAGCTGGCTCCGCACCCGCCGCTTTAGCGAGCCTACTTTTCGACCCTCCGGAGCCACAGATCATTGGAAACACACCGTGTGTCGCGACTTTCCTACCTTTTCGTGCACCTGGACCTTCTTTCTTCGGAGACTTTCTGTTTTCGATCTTCTTTCTTCTTCTCTTCTCTTCTGTTTTTGATCTTCTTTCTTCTCTTCTCTTCTCTGACTCTTCCCATCTCTGCTTTTCATCTGTACATATTGTCGGAAGTTTGACTTCTAAACTTCCTTCGATCAACACAAAATCAAGTACCCTCTAGGCATGGGTCAACTTTGGGTTCTCCGGAAAACGTCAGCCGAACGGTAGCAGAGGTGTCTGACCCATAGCCCATGCCCAATGAATTGTTGGGTGAATCCCAATTTTTCATAATTTTTCTTCGCTCTCAGGTGGAGTCTAAACTGAACCTACTAAACGTGACCAAAACTCCTCGATTTTCTTGGATCTCCAATTTCTTGGTTGACTCATCTCCGCCCAAAAGATGGATCTATGGTGATTGGAACTCATTTCTGGTGCACATCCCTGAAATTCACATATGGATTTGCACAGAAATAGTAGATATTCCAGAATGCAAATTTTAACGGTGAAAATGAACCTTTAACTTTAATCCATGGCATATTGAGGGTTACCCATGGTTACCCCATTTCCAGACAAACCAACACTCTTTTGGTCAAAGCATCAAGGCACATGATGATCTCCCGAATCAGTAAACATAGTAAATACCCTCACTTCAAGGTGGGATGACGAAGCATCATTGGGGTGACCTCCAAGGACCAAAAACGGGTTCATATGGTTCATGGCAATGTCAAATCCCCCATTCATCCAATGATTTTTCCCATTGAAAAATCCTCCATGGGATTTTCAATGGCTACCCTTGGCGCTTCGCCTGCTTCGATCAGTGCGTCCACCGCCGCTGCTTGACCCTGCTGGATGGCCGCCATCAGCGCTGTCTCCTGGTTGCGATTTCGGCTGTTCAGCGCCGCGCCGCGAAAAATCAAATGGCGCAGCACCTGCTTCGGTGACGGCGGGTGTGAAACCCAGGGGCTTCATACGGGGGTAAGGCTACTGTGGTTGCCATGGGCCATAGGGGCCACTTTTGATGGTAACTTTTGGAGATTTCCGTGGAGAATCGCGAGGAAAAATCCATATGTTTCTCCAAACATGGGGGCTAGTCCCCTTGCGATTTGCATGGGAAAAAAAACTGATAACCCCAGACGCGGAAAAATGCGATAGAAATTTCATGAAATTTCAACAGAAAGGAGATGTGTTACATGCAAACATTAACATTCAGATTTGTGACAAAGAAGTATGGGAATTGAGCTGCAGGATGGGGATAGTCACTGGCAACTATGGTGTGTTTCACCTACAAGACAGGAATTCATTCAAACATGTTACACCTGGCAAGCCTAAGACCTGCCAGTTTTTCATCAGATGTTGCCATCAGGTAAACTAACATAGCTATAGAAAATGGGCCGTTTACAGATGATCCCTGTAAACATGATGGTTTTCCATAATTATGTTAGTTTACTCAAGGGTATACCCATCTTGGATGTCTAAAATGTACGAAGACTTCCTCTACACCGCCTTGCTCGCGATGTAAACTCTCCTTGTTACATGTAGCTGTACCATGGCTTATACATGTTGTGTCTGCCTAAAAATTTGGTATTCCCATATCCATGAATATCCATCAATATGCCATGTTTTGTCATGATGTTCACCATGTGGGAACATGGCAATTTCATGGGCATCTCCATCGTCGCCCCAGTTGATGTCCAGCGTTTCCCGCCTCGATGTGGTTTCCACAAGCGGCGAACCATAAAGCAGTCTCATCGAAGGAGTTCATGTGTTCAATGTCTGCACCTGAGGGAAAGTTTACACAGGAAACCCCTGAAATGGCACTTCTTGAAAAGAAAATGGCTTCCAAATGCTTCCGAGTTGTCCTATCAAACAATCTGCTACCTCAAATTGCAGTGGTAATCCGATTACACATGCTGAGAGTAGGAATCGTGATAGAAGTAATCATATAGAATTAGTTTTCCTCACCGAATGAATAGATCAGGGAGTCCGAACTGAACATTTCGACGTAGGGAAGCCCTGCCAGGAGGCAGCACGGCGCCTGCATCCAGCAGTAGTTCAACTGCCTCCAGGTGCCCATGATTCGCTGCCAGAATCAAAGGTGACATGTCCACTTCAGTCAAGTTGTCGGCCGCCGGATTTGGTGCCACAATGACGCCTTGAAAGCCAAGGAGGTCATCCGCTGAGCGGTGGAATATGATGGGGGTGGAATAACATGATTGAAGAAAGTGGGGTTTCCATGGTTAACCAAGATGCAGCCCACGAACCCGAATGCTCACACGTATGTTAGTTGGTACAGATGTCGAAACACATGCATATGGAGTGTGAAGTGTAAAGGGTGGAGTGTGGAGTGTGGAGTGTAGAGCACGCAATGCGACACGTCTGAAGTGCTGCGCCTGCCACGCAAAATGACGACAGAGATCTCCAAAACGCTGCGCCTGCCACGAAAACTGCAACTCATCTTGTGAAAACGACGCAAAAGTATTGCGCCTGCCACACACAAAACGACTTTCGACACGTTACAAAACACGTCTGAATGTTACAAAGTGGTGCGCCTGCCACGCAAAACGACATTACAACCTGCTTTGACACCTTCGAGAAGGAAAGGTTTTGCAGCTTTCCCCACAGACACGGCGAGGCCACCGAAAAACCAGAGACTCGAGACGAGACACGTGGGAGCATCAAAACGAGCATTTCGTGCCAGACTTCCTCCAATTTTCACACTTTGTTGCTTCAAAATCGATGTTTTCCTAGGAATTTTCTTATGAACCTCAAAATTTGCTACCTCAAAATCGATGTTTCGTGCGAGGCTTCCGTCAATTTTCGTCACATCTCACAAAATGCCACACCTGCCACGGAATTTGCACCTTGTCGCCACTTGACGCAGCCCTGACAATGCGATTCGCAAAAAACACGCAACACGACACATCTAAAGTGCTGCGCCTGCCATGCAAAATGACGATGGACACGTCCAAAGTGTTGCGCCTGCCACGAAAACTGCAACTCATCTTGCGAAAACGTCGCAAAAGAATTGCGCCTGCCACACAAAACGACTTTCGACGCGTTACAAAACACGTCTGAATGTCACGAAGTGCCACGCCTGCCACGAGAAACGAAGCAACACCACATGTGAAACCTCCAAAAGTGACCCCTTTTGCAAAACTTACCATAGGCACGGCCATACAGGGCTCGCGCGGACGGTTGCGGACGATTGCAGACGGTTGCGAACGGTTGCGGGCGGTTGCGAACGGTTGCGAACGGTTGCAAACATAGACGCAACATCGAGCGAACACACCCTCAACCCCCAGACCCCCAGAGTGAATGGATTATCCAATGGTTATAATTACCATGGTTTTCTGGAAATAAAAAGGACTGAAAGTGGAGACCCGAGACCATTGGGATCCATAGGAAGTTGCAACATGCTCTCCAACTCTAAGGTCTTCCCAGCATCTGCAGCGGACAGAAACGTCTTCTCCTCATCCTCCGTGGGCGCATGGTACTCCAGGATCGTTAACACCAGGTCCATCACCTCGACGTTCCTTTCCATGTCTCCCATATCGTCCATTAAGGAGTGTAACTGGCAAGCATCTTCCAGAGGATTCTCCCCATGAATCAGCTTCAGGCAGTAGATGGACACCACCAACTGCCTACTGACAGATTGGACAGATTGGTCCCTGGGGGCTGAAAAGGGTTCCTGAAAGCAGCCGTTGATATTTCTCGCAGTGATTGGAATAAAAACGTTCCATTTCACAGTTTATAAGTTATGATAATTTATGATAGAAGTTGTAACCATTGGTATAGCATTGGTATTTATCTTGGGGGATTCGAATAACGCTACACAAAACTTCTCACGTCAGATCATTTGTTTTTGACCCCCCTATACTCATCCCAAGAATCTGTAAACATTAGGAGCTCTGTCTTTTTTGGAAATGGATGATATCACCAATGCCTCTGACAGATGCCACTTCAAAGCTCTCACAGAGTTCCCGTACTTCTTTTCCTGCAGCGTTCTGACAAATTCCTTGTCCAGTCGAGCTATCTCTTCCCCCGAGAGCTGGCAGACCCGCAGCATTGCAAGTTCGAACTAGCTTTTGCGACCGCGCCAAACGAATCGAACGGAAAATAAATGAAAATACTACAAAAGGAGTAGAGATGAAGATGGATCAAGAAAACATCAAACGGGGTTGAAAGTTCTTGGTCTATGACTTTAGGCATACATCAAGTGGACGTCTTCAGGATGGTCTTTGAGCCCACGGCGATTCGGGAGTCCACATGCTGCTCAGAACATTTTTCAGTACATGACATGTTTTTTCAATGATATCTTTTGTTGATCATATGCTATCAACTAGTTCTATCAGTTCAATGTGCGTGTTGAATCTGTTTGCAATAGATATAATATGCTTTTGTTGATAAAATGTATCTATTCTACTAGTTCTCAACTTACGACCAAGTTCCAGCGCAGATATTTACTCCTTGTCCGACAAGGTAGGCTTGGTATACCATTTATCATCTTCCAAGGGGGAAAACTCTATAGTGTGTATAATATATATATATAGATATAGATATAGATATATGTTTAATATACATATACTATATGTTTAAGATAAATACATATGTCTATATATATATAGAGAGATATACACAAATAGTATAGAGAGAGAGAGAGAAATATATATATATGTTGTTGATCAACCGTCAGGAGCGTCTTTTTGCTCTCTGCCTCCTGGCCCTCTGCATGCGAGGGCCATGGGTTGGAATTCCATGTGTATGTAAATATATATATATACATGTATGTATGTATCCTCTTTACTTAATATATATATATATATGTATATGTATCCTCCGTAATCATTCATTCATACACCCATGTAAGTGTAGATCATCCTATATAAAAATATATAATATATAATAATATATATATATGTGTGTATGCACTGTAATTACATATATCAATATGATTTAATATGTACTGTACATATCCACAATGACAGCATGATCCACCAGGATACTCGTGCTGGAGCTGCTGGTACTGGTGCTGGTGGTGCTACTGGTGGTGCTGGATGTGGAAGTGGTACCTGGTGACGCAGAACGAAGGACCCCCTTCAGGGTTCAGATGGAGCACCAGAACACGGCCCTGGCCTGAAAGTCTGATGTGTTTCTCCGAAAAAATAGGTGAAAACCACCAATTCACCCATGGATGATCAACATTTTAAAAAAACATGTTGTTGTGGGGTGTTTTTCGCCAATTTTCTTGACACACCCTGATTCAACACAGATTCAGAGACCAAATGTTCACAGAAACCAGGGGAAATTCTACTGTCGCACGGGGGAGGATGACCCCGACCCTATCAGTGATGTTTGTTGGTTTCAACCATCCAACTGTCAAGTCATATCATTCCCACAATACATCCAACAGTTAGCTTAGTTATGTACTGTTTGGATGTATTGTGGATATGACAGTTGGATATGATATAACACCAATAAACCAATTTGCTCAATTTTTTGGTGTTCCCTCTTCTGACGCTACTGGTACCATTTAACGATCCAATTATATCCACTTCATTTGCCTCATGCCATGGACAGTGGTTACAGCAATCATCCTGGTTACTGTAGGAAGTCCCGTAAGGAGATTATCCCGGTATCCCCCTTATAACTCTGGGATGACTGCAGTTACTAACCACTTAGTAAATGGCATTTGCTGTTTGGTCCGGCCTTGCATCCTCACGTTCCCACGGGTGCCAGTAGTTCATGCCCCTTTTGATAAAACAGCCAAGCTGCTTGTACTGGTGGTTGATGAGCTTGTGACACTGCTAGTTGTTGTGCTTGTATGAGTCCTCAAGGTTGCAACCTCTCCACACCACAATCAAAAAAGAGGAGAAAGATCAGATTGCACTAGATTTCAAGGGGCCGCATTGGGATATGGCCACCTGATTTCGGATTGTCCCCACTTGGAAGCCCCAAATCTGCCCATGGTGTGTCGATTTTCCAGACCTTGCTGGTCCCCAGCATGTTTCCAATATAGATCACCTCCAAAATCTCCATCTTCTCGTTGTTTTGAAGTATCAAAAACACATGTTCATATATGGCAGTGTGTCAAAACCAATAGTACCCCTTCTGTTCACATCAAAATAGCTGGGTTAACATGGATGTTCATCCCACTATATATATATATATATGGTATTTTCATAGGTATTGATCCATAGCCATATGCTGTAAAAGCATCTAATATTCATATTGGGATGATCCATCTAATGAATCTAATGGGTAATTCATATCAATAATGGGATGATCCTTAATTCACCATTTATATTAATGGACTATTCACCATTAATAGATAATGGATTATGACTGGGATTTCACATTTCAATGTCCCAAATATTTTCACCATTAATATTTTCATAACATCTTCAACCCTCCGCTCCTTGAGGTGGTCGTCACCGTGACGCTGGAGGAGGTGCTAGTGGTTTTCGTTACCGACGAACTGGTGGAGGTCGTGACGGTCTGCGACGTGGAGGACGTGGTGATGGTGGAGGACGTGGAAGTCGTCTGCGTCACCTGGGAACTGGCACTGAGATGCCTGGAAAACCTGGATTTTTGGATTTTGAGACACTGAAAGTGGGGAAAATGATGAAAAAATCAAGCATTTAAGAAATTCACCAATCGTGAACGACCGTTTAAAAGGGATTTGTACCAGAATTCGAGATGGACATCTTGATTTTATCAGCCAATATGGTGATGAAGGGTGATTCGAACAATTCGGATTTACACCATCAAACCCATCCCACCAAACGAGAATCATCTTCCAACCACGATTCTAGGCAGGGTTTATTTTCAGAAAGAACGTAGATATCGTGGCAGCAATGGTGTGTGGCTTTACTACTCATGTTACTCTCCAGTAAATTAACAGTTCGACCCTGCCAGTCATCGGGGGTGGAAGATTGGTTTCCATTTAAAAAATTGGTGATTCTCAGGGTCTATGTTAAATTTTTTGTACTCATGTTGACCTAATAAGATCTGGATTTTGAAAAAAATGCAGACCCAGCAGAGGTTTTGGTCCTAAACAGCTGGCGAAAAGAAGGAGCAGCCGATCTGCCGATCATGAAAGCCCATGACATTTAGTCAATGGCCATTTCAGGAACCTAAATTGGAGGTACCTACCATATATAAGGCCTATATAAGGCCTATGTAAGGGAATATCCCTAGAAAATCTGCCCTTATATGGTACAGTACCTCCATTTTAGGATCCTGAAATTCTCATTGATTTAGGGATGCAAGTGTGATAAATGGGGTGGTTTCAATGATTTTTAATGGGTACCCTCTGGTAAACATACAACAAACTATGGAAAGATCCAGCATTTTCAATGGGAAAATTTCAACATTTCTATGGCTATGTTCAATAGCTTTTTGTATGTTTCCCAGAGGCTATCAAGTGTCATCAAGAGTTCAGAGGCCATGTTTCGATGGGTGGCCCATGTTTCCATAGCATCTCGTAGCAGTATCAAGTGGTGGTGCAAGTTCCGAAGTTCCAAGTCTTGTTGGTTAGAACATGTTAGAACCCCAATGAGGTGTACCTGCAGTTAAATCTCCAATGTTTGAGAATGATTAACCATTATCAACTAGTGTTAACCATTATCAACTAGTGTTAACCATGATTAATCATCATTAACAACGATTAACCATCATTAACAATTATACAGCCATTAACTATTAAATGGTTTGATATCCACAAATTGATGTGGGTCCAAATCATCACCACGAAGATGCCTTCCCAAAATCATTGGCCATCTAAATCATCTGTCAATTCCATGGGGGTTTTAGGTAACACATTGACTTCACACATAGCTTTTGTTGTTGAAATCCCCACTATTGCTGGTCTTTTTCTCCGATGTGATGTTTCAGGGTTGCCATGGCGGATTGACAAACATTTTTCTGCTAAAAAATGTTGGAGGCAAAATTAAAAACAAAAAGTTCAACATGTGGTGATTAAAAAAACAGAAAACGCTAGGACATTTGGTAGACACATGGAGTCTTTTTTACCACAAGACTGGTTGTTTACATGGTTTTACCGTATGTTTTTTCTATAACACAGAGTGTTTACCAACAAAATATGTTGCTTATTACTATAAAAGATGGGGAAAATTGATGTTAAATCTCACCCAAAAAAAAACGAAAAAAAAAAAAACGAACTGCTCCGGGAAGCCGAGGAGGTACTGGTGCTGCTGGTGCTCGTAGAACTGGTAGAAGTGGTGCTGGAGGTGGTGCTGGTAGAGGTGGTACTGCTGCTGGTGCTCGTCACCTCAAAAAAAAACCACCAGTTGACCAGTTCTGACCTTTTTGATGGAACAAAACATTGCAAAAACTGGGAAGTTGGAGATGTTGTTTGGCTGATTTTGAGACAAAACTTGAGGATGTTTCACCAAGATCTTGACCCTAAACAGGGGGTATTTGTATTAGAAATGGAGATGGAAATTGAGGTTTTACCAACCAAAATGGTGATTTAGTGATTCGAACAATCGGGATTAATCTAATGGGATTTGTGAACCCATGAATTATGTCGTTCGGAAATCTGGAGATAGTGATCCGTTGGGAATGGGGATAGATGACATAGTATTTTCCATGATAACATAGTATTTTCCATAGTATTTTCCATGGGATGGTTCAATGTTTCCATACTTGGTGGTTCACCCAGTGTATGGAGCAGGGAAAGCAAGAGGTTCCAGTGAATTGATGGGGGTGAACTACTTGTGATGACTGGGGTGAACCACCACATAGATGTAGATTTGTTCCATGGTAGTTATATAGGTAGCAATGGTGATGATTCAAAAAATGATAGGGAATACTATGGATTTAAAGTAGAAAGGGCGGGATCATCGATGGGGATAGGAGATGGATATGATCCCGGTTTCAATGATTTCATAGTGACTTTGTGATTCTTGTCAAAAATCGTTTGCTATCTTGATACCCTCTGGTAAACTAACATAGCTATTGAAAATGGCCATTTATAGTGAGTTTTCCCATTAAAAATGGTGATGTTCCATAGTTTGTTGTATGCTTACCAGAGGGTAACTTATATGTATCACTTCCATGGATTCCATAGCTGATTCTC